AAAAAAATTTTTTTTTAATAAAAAAAAGTAAAAAAGGGAAAGCAGGGAAGGGAGAGACAGGGAAAGTCGAGAGCAAGAGACCATGACCCCTGACCCTGGCTATGGGGCTTGGCTCACCATAGGGCGTGGTGGGCCCCAGCTCACTAGCCGCCTCTGCCATGTACTGTGCCAGCAGCTCCCCATTGGTGACCCGCGAGGGCACCTTCCTGTCCAGCTTCTCATACAGGAACTCCTCCACTCGGGCACCTGCAGGGAGACAGCAGCCAAAGCCACAGGGCTCTTCAGTACAACCCGAGGACAGAAGCCACGGCGACAGCAACAGACGCAGCGCAGGGCCTGCCCACGGGGTGCCTGGCCTGGTGACTTGCAGAATGTTCTTCCTGGTGCCTACCTCAACCCTGTGACACTGGCACTCAACCTCGTAGGACCCCTCACTCTGGCGAGGAGGAAGCCACAACTCAGAGATGCGACATGCCCGCCCCAGGTCCCATGGCTGGGGGTGACCGGCCCAAAGTCAAGGCCCATTCATTTCTCCCTCAGGACAATATGGATTTATAGAACCTAACACATATATGGACAGGGCCCTGGTGCTGGCTCCAGAAAGCCCTCGAGACACTCAGTTGTGTAGCAGACTTACAGGCAGACAAGCATCACGACCCCAAGACACCCCACCCTCCCCTTGGGCTCTCCTGGCCTTTTGCTTGTGCTCACTCCTTGCTCATGCTCGTAGCAGACTCTGGGCAAGCCCTCTTCCATCTCTGGGCCTCGCTGCCCTCTCAAAAGACCCGGCTCATGTTTTCCCTACCTCTTCTCCCAAGCGTGTTTTAGTTTCAAGCATTTCTTCAACTCCTCTGTGCAAAACTTAACACTTCTGCTGCCCCAGAGAGTGCATCCTGGAGCCCATCACTGAGTCTGCTGATTTCTTTAACTGCCCACCCCCCACCCACCAGCAGGCCTCAGAAGCCCCAGCAACCAAATCCCACCTGCCGCCCAGTCCCCCCAGCGTGGTCTCTGCAGCCCCGGCCTCCCACCAGTGGCTTTCCGCCCCTCGCCTGGGACCACCCCGGGCCCACTCACTAGGGTTCGGCTGCAGCAGCACCTCTGTCTGCCGCAGGATTTTCTCGGTCCAGTTCTTGGTGCTGTCTGCCCGGGCCAGAAGGTTTTCAAAGTGGGCATCCAGCTCAGTCTTCTCTGCCTGGCCGAATTTCTCTTCTGTGAACTGTGTGGGGAGGATTGAGAGAGGTGGGGAGGACTCAGAAGCGGGGAAGGGAGGACTGCCCCTGCCCCACCCTTCTACACCTCCCCCACCAGCTAGAACCAGGCCCAAGGTTAAGAAATTTGCTCTGCCCCTGACCTGTTCTGTGACCTTGATCAAGTTACAACCCTGTTCTGTGCTTCAGTTTGCCCTTCTGTAAAATTAGGTTGGACCAGAGTTCGGGGATCGTGGCTTCTTCTAGAAATCCAATGAAGGCTATAGACTCCCTCCATCCCCCGCCAACAAAAATGCACATTTGCAGAAAATCTGGCATATAACTTGGAGGGAATAAGAAGTCCTTGGGAGCCTAGTTCTGGGGGTCCTCCTAATCCAACTCTGAAGGAAAGCACTTGGTAGCAGGTGCACAGGGAATAAATGGGGCCTGAAGCAAAGTCTGGGGTTATCTTAGGGCTCCATAGGGGGCTGGGAGCCACCGGGGAGGGAGTGCCAGGAGACGAGTGGGAGGAACCCAGGTCCCAGAATCAGAGGGACCGGATTCCAGTCTCCGTTCTACCACTGAAGAGGTGCGTGACCTTGGGCAAGTGGCTTTGCCTCTCTGGCATCAGTTTCCAGAGCTGAAAAATGAGCAAAATAAATAACAGCAGCTCCCTCACAGCTGAAATAGGATGAAATAAGAAAGATGTGGGTAAGACATGAAGGCCATGGTCTGGCGGGGAGTCGGTGTTCGGTGTTAAGGTGCTGCTGTGTAGAGCTGGTGGGCAGAGAGGAGGCTGGGACTGAAAGGGAGAGTGTGTGGGCAGGACAGCCACATGGCTGGCCTCTGGTTGCCCGGTGAGTGGACGGGGAACACCACTGGCCCATCAGAGCCAACTGCCTGGGCACACACGGGGCCCAGAGAGCTCAGCAGCCCCGCCTCAAGGCCAGGCAAGAACCAGGATGTCACATGGTCAGAGCCACCAGAAGCTGTGTAGGCCGCACAGGAACAACCAGCAACCGGCCCACGTCCTGGCCCCTCTTATCGAGAAGGCCATCTCCAGCCAGGAGAAGGAGCCTGCTCAAGGTCATGGCCAAACAACAAAAGGACTCAGACCGCAGGAGTAAGATCAGTAGTAACGGCAATAGATACTGTTGGCCACATCTAGAGCCCAACCCAGGGCTAAGTAAGCCACCAATGACCCACCTCCGGTAGCCCTCCAAGGCAGATGGGTCGAGTTTTCCCACGTCACAGATGATGCCACCGAGGCTAAGCAAGGGCTCAAGGCAGGGCCAGCATGGGCTGGGAGTCTGGAGGCCCTTCCCAGACTACTTAGCAGGATAAATCACCCAGAGGGCAAGGAAAGCTCCAGCCCAGCCGCAGAGAGCCACTGCTGAGGAGAGAGTCGGCTCTAGCTTAGCAGCCATCAATTATGCAACAGGGCTTGGGTTTCTCCCTGCAGGGCTGGGTGGGCCACGCTTATGGCCCGCAGCTCCCCACCTGGGAACCGGCTGCTCCCCCCGCCTCCCCCCTCCACCCCCCCCACCCGTCTCCTCCCACCTCTCCCCACACTGGGGCCTCCCAGAGCCAGGCCCTGAGCAGGCCTCCCCTCACCCAGCCCCTTGAGGGGCAGCGTCAGCCCCACTTTCCAGATGAGCAAACCAAGGCTTAGAAAGGCAAAACCACCCCTCCGGTCCTCGGTTCCCCACCCTGGCAAATGGAGATAACAGGCCCAGTCTCACGGAATATTTTGGAAACACACAGCACCGGCCTAATAAATGTCAGCGGCTGCCGTCACCACCATGAATAAAAGGCCCCATTCACGTCCCTCCTCGGAGCTACCTAAGAACCCCCTCACCCCAATGGCACCAATCACCCTAGTTTAGGCGACCATGTCACCCAAATGCGTGCCTCAGCATATCTGCTGCTTACCGAGGTTAGCGGCAGCCACTCCCCACTGAGCCACGGGGTGCCCATCCCTCACACCCCACATCTGCGCAGGTTCAAATTCCTACTGGGCTTTTCCCAACCTCTCGGGCACCCATCCCACTTCCACTGCCCGCTCTCACCCGCACTAGCATCTTACTCGAACATGCTCTAGGTTTTCCTGCTTTGTTCCCGGCCCCCCGGGGCCAACTTCACAAACGCCTCCTGACTTCCAAGGCACGATTTGGGGACCAGGAAGCCATCCCGGAATCACCCATGCAAAAGGGATCCTGCTCTCTCCCAGGACCAAGCTCCTGTTCCCTACTGGCTGGGGGTGAGGCAAGGCTCTTAAAGGTGTCCCCGGCACACGGAGGGACCGACAGCTTTCCCAGCATGCCCTGGGACATGGCAAGGTGGCACCTATGCAGAGAAGCTGCCCACACATTGATATGAAAGACCCCCGTCCATCCCTCCTGTCTGACTGACTCCTATCCCAGCACAGGCTGACCTCAGTGGGTCCCCCAAGGGTCCTCTCCTACCCAGGTCACATGTCAAGCCTCTCTCTCCTTTGGCCTGCTACCCCTGCCCCATCCCTACAAAAACAAAGAGCCTCTTGCTTTAGGGGCCGATGTCTGCAGAGTCCGAGGCTGCTCCCTGCAAGATGGCAGCCTCAAGGGTGGGCGTGCATAGCCAGAGAAAGCCTCTATTTATAAAGCTCCCAGCTCCCTCCTCCACCCGGGAGTCGGGAGCCTGGGCGCTGGCTCCCACTCCAGTATGGGCGACCCGGCGGGCCTGCCCCCACCAGGAGAAGTGAGGCCACGGGGCCCAAGCCTCCCCACACCCCAGGCTCTGCAGGCCCTGGCCAGGTCAGGTGCCAGGGCCCCACGGTATCGGGGAAACTGGCAGATCAGGTTCTTCCCAGATGTGGAGATAGAGTGGTTGCCATATCAACACTGGGGAGGATTCCCCACCTTCCAGATGAGCTGGGGATAACCAAGGAGTTCCGGGGTCCTAGCATCCCCACTGGGGCTGGGGTCACCTGCTGGGCTGGAAGCAGCAAGCAGCAAATCCTCGCTGGGCCACTAATCCTCAATGGGACACGGGATATGGTGCTTTCTAGTAAACACGGGCACATGGGTTTCCAAGAGACTCTCTGGGGCTGGGCTTCTCCAGAGAACCGACAACAGCAAGGACAAACAACAGAACTTGTTCCCAGAGCACTGCGACAGGCCAAGCCCCAAGTCTGCAGCCACCCCTGGAGGCAGACCGGTGCTAACACCCGACTGACAGGAGGGGACATGGAGGCTCTGAGGTAAGTGACTTGCCCAAGGTCACATGCCACACAGGTGCAATACTAACTACGTTACCACCACCAGTAAGCTTGCCTTTGGTGAGTATGTACGTGCAGGGTACCACGGAACCCTCACGACCATCCTGGGAGGGATTGCTAATCCCATTTTTCAGGTTGAAAAACTGAGGCTAAGAAATGAACCCCCTTCCTCAAGGTCACAAGAGGGGGAGCATCCATGCCCATAGCTGACTCTCGGTTTTCCTCAATACTGCCTCAGTTTCTCTCCTGGCCCCGGAATGGACAGAACTTCTTCCAATTCCGGCATCACCGGCCTGGACAGCTTCCCAAGGAGGGAACCCAGCCAGACCTCAGCCCTTTCCCCATCCCCCAGGCTTAGAGAAATAAGAGAAACAGGCCTCCCATGGAGCAGAAAGGAAATAATCCCAACCGTCTTGGCTTCTGGACTGACTATCCAAGCGTGTAATAGGGACCTGAGGGAATCAGTACCACCAGGCCATTGCACAGGTACAGAGACTGAG